GGGACATCAGAATAAGCTGCCCGTTATTTCATTTCAAAATAATGGGCTGCTTCAGTAGATGTAGAATAGTTATTTTGGGATACTTCCGGTATCCCAAAATAGCTCTGCAGTGTAGACATACCCAAAGATACTATAGGACTACTAGGTTTTGAGCTGAATGGTTTTTGTATGAAATATGGAATAACAAATATTATCAATATTACTTCTGAGACAGATGGAACAGTCTATGTAGGAATGTAATCCATTCATTTACTAATTTAGGAATCAAAAGGTCTCATAAATTTAACACACTATGTCCCTCCATGTTATAATCTAGATTAAGTAGAGCAGTGTTTCTCAAACTGTGCTCCGCAGAGCCCCAGAGCTCCACGAGACATCTCCAGGGGCTCCGCGAGGTTGACAAACTGGAAACATCAATAGGTACAACACATACAATCAGAGGACCGCTGGGGGTCCGCATAAGTACAGCACATACAATCAGTGGACCACTGGGGCTCTGCATAAATTTTTACGCATGTAAAGGGCTCCAAAGCCCAAAAAGTTCGAGAACTTTACGCATGTAAAGGTCTCCAGAGCCCAAAAAGTTCGAGAATCACTGAAGTAGAGAAATCCCTGACTACATCTGACCCATAAATTATTTATCCCAGAAAACACATAATATTTCCTGTGCTTATTAAATGCGATAGCCATTTTGTTTTCAATGGAGTACACTATAGGAATTTCACTTTTTAGGAAGTCACTACTTTTTTTTTGAGACATTTAAGTATCAAAACATTAGATAGAATCATTATTGCTACTTTTCAGGTGCAGACCTTACAGCACTGTACAAAGGGATTTAAATATAATTTTGCCCATTTAAAAAAAATAGGTGTGTCCTTAAACTGGGATTTAACCATTCTATGTTCACTTTCCAGTTTCTTGTTTCTGTGGGACCTCAGACAAATCACTTAAGAAAATGTTTTTAAAGTGAGTCATTGATTTAATGTGCCTCCATTTTGGGGTGTCTAAAACCAGCACCTCAAAGGGACCTAATATTTACAAAGCTCTGAGCTCTTCGTCCTCTGAAAAATCATGCTAGCCACCCCAATTTATGTCTCCTGAAATCATTAGTTGCTTTTGAAAAATTTGGGCTTAATTTCTCTGTCCTTCAATTTTCCTTCTAATAAAATGAAGTAACACTACTTTCTTTCTACTATCACCATTTGAGTGTCCTATGTTTTAGACTGTAAACCCTTCAAGCAGGGACTGTCTCTTTCTTTATGCTTATATGGCCTGAAATGCAATGGAGCTCTTGTCTTGACTGAGATGTCTCAATGTTTCCAGAATATTAATAATACACATGGTTAAACTAAGGCTCCCATTCCTGTGCCCTGTGTGATGGCATTAATCAGACACAGAGCTGCGAGTACATTTCTGCATGCAGTATTCTTATTTCTAAGCTAGAAACTTCTGGAGAAAGAGTTTGATACTTGGACATAGACTGTAAGCTAAAGCTGATAGTGTATGTATAGGGGACCTGAAAGATTGCTACATCATTAAGGTTGCAACCTTGTAAGAGAAATTAAACTAGGGTCCTTTCTGCCTCCCTTGAATGGCTGTTTAAAACATAAAAGGTAACACTATCCACTTAATCAAAGACAAAAGCAATTGATGAAATACTAGTTTGCACATGAGCTACTGATGACCACAACATGTCTATCAAATTTTCTTACAGTAGCACAGTACTAAGGCCAAATTCACAGTGGCTGCAATCTCCCTCAAGTTCACAGAATTGTTGCCTATATCTGTGGTGCCTATATCTGTGGTGAATTTCATGCCTGGTATTTAATTCACCACTGAGCACATTGCGCTGGGATATACTAAGTTTGGAAGGTTCCAACTCTTAGATTTACTATATTAAATCTAAGTCGAGTGGTTAAATATATAGCTTAGATTTACTATATTAAATCTAAGTCTAGTGGTTAAATATATAGAACAACCTTCTGGCTACGTCTACACTGGCATGAATTTCCGAAAATGCTTTTAATGGAAAAGTTTTCCGTTAAAAGCATTTTCGGAAAAGCGCATCTAGATTGGCAGGATGCTTTTCCGCAAAAGCACTTTTTCCGGAAAAGCGTCCGTGGCCAATCTAGATGCAGTTTTCCGCAAAAAGCCCCGGTCACCTTTTTCACGATAGGGGCTTTTTTGCGGAAAACAGTACTATGCTATCTACTCTGGCCCTTTTGCGCAAAAGTCTTTCAGAAAAAGACTTTTGCCCAAACGGGAGCAGCATAGTTTTTCCGGAAAAGCACTGATGATTTTGCGAGTGTAGACAGCTGGAAATTTTTTCTGGAAAAGCAGATGATTTTCCGGAAAAACTTGCCAGTCTAGACACAGCCAGTATGTTTCCAGGGAACATTAGGATACATGAATGTAAGGGAGTGAATGAATCATTTCTTCAGCCTGCGTGACCTTACTATGGTGTAAAATTCTACTCTTGGTTAGTTTTGAGTTTGGCCAGGCATAACAAAAAGCAGACTTAAGATCCCAGTCTGCACACATTTATAACAAGTACACAGTCCTTTTCCCCTCACTTCCCATCCCCCCAATTTTCAGGTGAGGTGAGCACACATTCCTAATTAGTCTTGTCATTCAATGAAGAAAAAGGAACATTTGGCTACTATTTACACAAAGCAATCACACAATGACAGAGCACCTTATGAAAAACAATTCTTCTAAAATGAATTCAGGACCTAAAACATTTTGATGGGAAAAAACCCACACCTGATTTTAGCATATGATGGCTCTATTTTCTGCTTATGTAGTTATGTAAACCTGTGAAAAATGCATAAGAGTTAATATATAATGCTGCCATTCTGGTTTAATGGCATTTTCAGGTTCTCCCTATACAAAGTGAAATGCAATGGAGAATCAGTCCCTATAACTTTTATTCAGTGGAATGTGACATCGGTTTTTCATTGGTAAAACATAGTTGAATGGATGAAGGTTTCAGGTCACTGGTGCCTGTGGAACAGAGAATGTATTACAGGTCTGTGACAGCTAAATGTCTTCTCATTGGCTGCAGAGAAGGCAGGAAATGAGTATGCTGACAGACCCGACAATTGCTTAGGTCATGCAGGCTAACAGTACTAACAATGACAGCCTGGAGGCTATCATACCATCAAGAGAACCATGGGCTGAGTGAAGAAGTTTGAAGTTGCTTTGCTCTCTCTTTTTTGCTGTTGAAACCTTAATTAGGCCATCTCACTTTTTTTCCTCCATCACTCCAAAACTCTGTCTGAAATGGAATGTCATTGAACAAAGCCCGACATCCTGGCATGACTTAAGGAAGAAGGAATGCTAACAAACTATCAGAGCAGAAACCAGACTCAGAAGTCCTAAGTCTCATTTACACTAAAGCCAAGGCTACCCTTAAATCAAGAGTAGATTATATTTAACTGTATAGACATCTCTGTGAGGGAGATGAGGTAGGTACATGGTGAATGCTTCTGAAAATCCCACTCCATCTCCATGAATCAGCTAATTCATCTCTCTGTGCAGGGACTGCATGTGCCTCCACTACAAGCTTTGACAGTTGATACCAAATGAAGGATTCAGACCAGATCCCTATCCTTCCTTTGGGGTATCAAGTACTGGTAGCATGGATATACTCACCTAGTCTTTGGGCTGCCTAATGCTGCCAATCTCTTGCTCAGGCACAGGCAGGCAGTCATAGTTTTTGAGGCTCCTCCCCCACCATTGGCACATTACGATTAGCCAAAAACTATTTTCCAGTTGGTATTTAATTTGAATACACTTTTAACCATTTTTCTGAAATGAAACTAATTGGCCCAGTAGGGAACACCAAAACATCAGGCCCTTAGTGCGTAGTACCCTTAGTTTATTACAGAGGCATTATCTGCTGCTGTTTCAAATGTACTATAAAAGCAGTAAGCAACAGTGAAATGCACTCTGTTCTCACTGGTGCCTACTGAATTTATCCAAGCAAGTGCAGCTGACTTCAGAGTATTTCTTCAAGGTAATAGGCAAATGTGCCAAATCTGCATCTAATTTACATTACCAGTGATATTTTTCAATCACACATGTCCTTTTTTGATTGCATGCTGCAGCTATGGCATCTCATATACTGTAATGTTCATTCTCTCTTTTCATAACTGCAAGAACTTCAGTCTAACAGTTTTCAAAACCATCCAATTACATTTTCAGTGCTCTGTTCAGTAGTGACTTTTAGGTCCTTAAAACACAATATGTATGGAAACTATTAAACTAAAATTCACCTTTATATAAAATTAAGCTTGGTACTTATACATTTGATTGTCATGTATAAAAAAAATCTGTTAAATCACAATTTAAACATGTTGACCTATGGTCCAGAAACTTTTTATAAGGGTTACAGATTACTTGAGAGCTAGACTTCATCATGGTGCTTTGGAAGATATGTCAAGAAAAATGCTAGTCTGTTAGAAATGACTGGGTCAAAAATCGCTATACGTATTTTGGTATTTTACTAAACAAATAAATAGCAGATGCCTATGTTAGCAAAAAATCTGATGTTCATAACAAATAAGCAGATGTTCAAATACACTGGAAATGTATGAATACAAAATACATCTATCTGTGACAAAGAAACTATAATTTCTATAAGTACCATAATTGTACCAAGCTGTAAGTTAACCTTTGAGGCAAATAAGACAATAGTGCAAACTGTTCAACTCATGCTGCAAAAGGGGTTCCCCAGAAGATGTATATGTATGTACTTTTCTATTGTGCACAAGGAGTAGTTAAAATAAATTCAGCCAAGATAGCTGATTACAAGGTCTTTTACATTAAAAAAATAAAATCCTAAATGGTAACAAACAAGAAGGTAGGTTGTTTTTTAAAAAATGTACTGTTGATTGAAATATCATTAGGCATATTTTTATGTTCTAAGAAAATGTGATAAACAAAGGACTAAAAAATAATAAAGCAATCTAGAGAATTGGAGATACTCAGTTGCTTACCTCTCCTTGCCAGATAGGGTTCACAGTATTACATGTGATCTTGGATCTCTTCTCTTGTCCATGGTGAGGAAGTGCTGGGAAGATGCTGTGCTTTCCAGGCTGAATGGAAATCTTCAGGTATGGGTCTGGGTTAAAGAACATTCCTTTTTTCAGACCCAAAGCCTGGAAATCTGCAGAAAGTTGAATATTCTGATTAGCAATCACATTACAATTAGCACACTGGGAAGCCAGAAGAACCACAAGAGGAACTAACGACAAATTAAAAAGCAAAGCAAGAAAAATCCCACTGCATTCTGTATTACTTGCATAGTAACATAAAACCAAACCATTATAAACAATTTCAATAACATTGTAGGATTTGTAAAGTAATTTAAAACTAAAGCACACTCACTAATCCTCCCCTCTATAGAGAAAGTAAAACTCAATCTGTAATTTAGACACAAGAGTGGGTGTTAAAATAAAAGAGTTCCAAATTCCTTCTTTGCGAAAGACTTTGTCTGATTATGGGCAAATTACTTAAATTCTTTGGGTGAAATCTTAACCACAGTAAAATTAATGGCAAAAGTCTTAATTGACTTCAATGAGGCCAAAATGTCACCTTTTGCAACTTCATTTCCCTTTTGTAAAAAGTTGCAAATAAGGATTTAATAGTGATTTCATGCTAGAAAGTAGCCCTTTTAATAGGCTTTTTAATAATAGATATCAGTTTCAATTATCTGAATTATGAGACTTCAGAGAATTGTTGCAAGTTTTAGCCTAAAGTTCTTGTTATGAAAGTGTCTTCTGGGATATTCTGACAAACTTTGCTGTTTTTCTTTGTTGATATTTGCTTCTCTCCCAGAATAGGAGCTATTTTTAAGCCAGATGGCAGGATTTGCCTCTGAGTGAATTCAACCTATAATGAGGTGGCTTTAAAATGAATGTATTTCAGCAAATGTCAGCCTCCTGGATATCCATATGAATCTGTATAATCATATATATAGTAGCCCAGTGTCTGCGAGTCTGTAACACTGAAATGCTGGCTGTTCCCTCTGGGCAGCGCTGTTGCCAGAAATGCTGGCTGTTCCCTCTGGGTGGCGCTGTTGCCGGAAATGCTGGCTGTTCCCTCTGGGCGGCACTGTTGCTGAAATGCTGGCTGTTCACTCTGGGCGGCCTGTGCTGCATGGGGAGTGCGGGACCCAAACGGACACATGCGCCGCTTGCTCCCCCGCGGCGGCCTGGCCGAGTTGCACAGAAGTCAGCTGAGCGGGCGGGGCGGTGATGTACATGGCCAGGGGGTGGGACCTGGATGAGCGTGCATCCCTGATGGAGACAGAGGAGAGAGGAGGAGAGCAGAGAGAAAGTGAGAAGCAGGAAGCGGAGGAGAGCTGAGAGAGGGGTGGGGGGAGGCAGTAGGAGAGTGAGAGAGAGAGAAAGTCAGAGCGAGAGACCCGAGGCTCAGGAGAGAAGAGTGAGATGGAAAGGGAATAGAATGTGGAGGAGAGACCCGGAAATCCTGTCTTATGACGGGCTATTGGCTAGTTATTTATATTTTTAAAAGAACTCTCCTTAGCCAAGAACACCTTTTTTGGGGGCGTGTTATTTGCAGAGACATTTCAATGATTGACTATTGGGAAAAGTTTCTGTTGAAAACATACCTCAAAGTTCATCCTTTAGAATTTGCGGAAACTGAATTTTAGATTTACATATGGAAATACCCCCACTCAAAGTGCTTGTGCATTCATTTAACCACAGAATCTAGCGCGCTGAGCGGACAAACAGCTGATCAGCTGTTTGTCGGCTCAGCGCGGCAGCCATTTAAATTTAAATGAAGCCGCGATCATTTAAATCGCGGCTTCATTTGCCTTTGCCTATGTGTCTAATCTACATGCCTCTGACGACAGAGGCATGTAGTCTAGACACAGCCTAACTGATCACCATCAAGCTTTGATTTCAAACACTCATGGTCAGTTAATTTTGGGGGGGGGAGAATCTGAATTTGAATAATGAACAGATTCAGGAAAATCATCATCTGCTCAAAGATAATCTACAAGCAGAAGGTGAAACTAAACTTGTCAAAATTCACTTAAGTCTATTTGATACATTCAGTTAAGCTGCAGCAAGGATACCATATTCCCCATAAGAAGCATTCTGTGTAAATATTTTTTATATTCTCTTCACAAGAAAGCTGGAACTCCCTCAAATCTGAATGTTAGAAAATAATGCTGTATTGTTTTTTCAATAATAGCATCATTTGCAACATTAATATTTTTTTCAAAATGATTTCATTAGACAGTATTATATATTTTATTTTTGTATGGTACATAAAACAGTCCAAATTTTCACACACAAGTGTCTAAAATTGGCTCCTAAATCTAACATTCATCTAAATATGATTTTAGGCACTCAACTTTATTCAACTGGACTTGGAAGTTTTGGCACTATAAAACCACATAGTTTTTAAACTATTGCTGCTTCATGGGAACTTATTTTTTATTTCACTTTAAATAAGCCTATTTCTTTGTGCTGGTGAGCTTCTTGTAAACTGACCTAAAAAGTACATTCCTACCACATCAAAACGTAGAGCAGGATTTTTAGCTGCACAACTTCCAGGGTCTTTAATGTGAGTCAGACAGATGGAACCCACAAGAGCCTCTTTTCAAATTTACCCATAGGATCCTGAAAAAAAGGCCACATAGCCCATTATGGCACGCCTTTTTGAAGCCCATGAAATACAAACCAATCTACAGGTATATCTCATTAGTTCAGGTCTCAATAGCAGCTACTGCCAGTACCCTCTGACTTTCTCTTTTTCCAGATGCATTTCTAGTTTCCTTTGGAATGTGAAACCATTTGCTTTTAATGACTTCAGTGTGTGAGTCTCTGTTTCAACTCAATAGTAGCTACTTTCATTTATTTAAAACTATATTTCAAATAGAAACAAAGCTAATGAATAGCAGTTTTGCGTCTTTTACAGCCTTAAAGAAATGTAAAATGTTAGGGAAGATAAATCCAACCAATTTTGGAGATTCTTTCTAAATATTTTTAAGTGTCATTCCTCTCTGACGGTTGTTGAGAACTCCTGATCTCCCACATGTTCATTATCCTGATGAGCCAGCTGAGCTGGCAGGTTAGATGAGATCAATGAAAACCCATTAACAGTGCTGTTGATAAGAGGATATGCTGGATGGATTGAAACTCCTAATGGAATGCAAAGGAACACTAGGGCTATGTCTACACTACAAGGTTTTTGCACAAAAACAGCCATTTTTGTGTAAAAATCGGTGGAGCGTCCACACCTCAAGCGCGCTTTTGTGCAAGAAAATTGACAGAACAGAGGGCTTTTGCCGGTAGAGTTATTTCTCTCCCCATGAGGAATAACTCCTTTTTGCGCTACAGCTCTTGCACAAAAAGGCAGGTGTGGATGCTCCACAGGGGTTTCTTGAACAAGAAAAAGCTCGAGTGCTCTGATGGCCAGTCTGTGAGTGCCAATCAGAGCTTTCTTGCACAAGGGTGTCCATGCAGTGTGGATGCTCTCTTGCACAAAAGCACATCACTTTTGCAATGTGCTTTGAGGTCTGGACATGCTTTCGTGCAAGACGTTTTTGCGCAAAAACTCTTGCGCAAAAGGCTTCTTCTGCAAAAGCCCTGCAGGTGTAGACGAAGCCAAAGTGTATGCCAGAGTACAGCTACATCAAAGAGCATGGACCAAGGATCAGAAACTTTATGAAGTTAGGGAAAAATATTTTGCTTCACTAGACCATTTGTGGACCAAAGGAATGAGTTCCATACATTAATTGTTTGAAGACATGCTCTGTTCTTGTTTGTATTTATGCAGCCATGGAGCTTCGGGGGCGGGGGGGCGGGTAAAGAACAGGGTGATTTTGGAGAGGTCTGTCCACCTTCCCCTCCCACTTCTGACAGTCAGATGTTTAGAGTGCAGGAGTCTTGGATCCCTGGCCATCTTGACTAATGCAAAAGCCCTGCAGTGTAGATGAAGCCAAAGTGTATGCCAGAGTACAGCTACATCAAAGAGCATGGACCAAGGATCAGAAACTTTATGAAGTTAGGGAAAAATATTTTGCTTCACTAGACCATTTGTGGACCAAAGGAATGAGTTCCATACATTAATTGTTTGAAGACATGCTCTGTTCTTGTTTGTATTTTGCAGCCATGGAGCTTCGGGGGCGGGGGGGCGGGTAAAGAACAGGGTGATTTTGGAGAGGTCTGTCCACCTTCCCCTCCCACTTCTGACAGTCAGATGTTTAGAGTGCAGGAGTCTTGGATCCCTGGCCATCTTGACTAATGCCATTGATGAACCTATCCTCCATGAACTTGTCTAAGTCTTCTTTGAATCCAGGTGTACTGTTGGCCTTCACAACATCCCACAGGAATGAGTTCCATACATTAATTGTTTGAAGACATGCTCTGTTCTTGTTTGTATTTAACCTGCTGCTTGCTATTACCGTGTACGCTTGATTATCTTAATTCCACCAATTTGTTATGATGCCTATTATATTAATATCCCCATGTTAATATCAGACACTGTCTCTTACACTCATCTTTGTCATTAGACTTTTAGCATTTGTAGAGAGCACTTGTACAGTTTGTCAATATTTAACTGCTTGCCCTCATGTATTATATTTAAATCTGACTATTGTGTTGGACTGTTCCCCACTAGCTCCTGTCTGTACTTTACCAACTTCTTTCCAATTCCCTTTATGATATAGAGATCTGCCTTTAAGAAATGTATCTCTGAGGGGGGATACATATAAAAAGGACAGTTTATAAACCTCTGTTTAACAGAAGGGAAGAGAGGCTTGCCCTTTGTTTATCCCTGTCTCTGCCTTGGAACCATGTGCTCCTCTGCACTTGGGATGTCAGCTCACCAGGCAGAGATTTCAAAAGTCATCACACATGTGAGCATAAACATGCTGTATTTTATGAATCCTAGTCTCACATCTGTCAAATCAAAATACAAATCAGGTTAAGTGAAAGGACAGTCCATTAGAAAATATTTCTGTGATAGTATGGGTGACTCTCTTAGCAGCATCACTCTACAAGTGAAATGTTTTGGATCAGATTGTAAAACTTATGTTGTACAAAGATTTTAAAAAGGGGGAAGCTTGTACAGACTGCACCGCCTGAGTGGGAGATTCATATGTACAAGGCACCTTTCAAATAGGCTCCC